TTGGTGCTTGGCTGAGTTCTTTATCTCTTCATTTGATGTTTTAGGGTTTCAGGATTGTTGTATTCTCTGTTCAGCTTAGTTTTTCGGATCTTTGCTGTGGAGGGACGGCGTGGTGCTTCTGTCTATAGTGCCATGTTGCCTGGAAGTCTCTGGGTGCTCAGTCTTATGCAGACCGTGAGCATTTGAGGTTCAGCGCTTGGGTGGAAACCAGACGTGGCAAAAACTGTGAAGGCCATTCTAAAGCCACGGGAGCCGGGAAGACCCTGCAGAGTGGGTGAGGAACTCTCATCGCTCCCTGGTCAGCGTGCAGACCCGTGGCCGGCCCCCGTGAACTTTTGTTTAGTAGGTGACTCCACAAGGCATGCCTCCTCCACTCTGCCCTGAACCCCCAATCACCTGCCCTGCACCCAGGATTCGAGTCCTGGGTGGGTGGAGAGGGTGTTACAGCCACCACAAGCAAGGAGAGGGGACATCTGCCTACTTGGGCTGCCGACTAGAAAGCAGGGCCCGCCAGCCTCCCCCATCGAGGGTGGCACCTCTGTGCTGAAAAAATGGCAGGCATCCTCCACCAAGTAAAAGCAGGATGCTGTCTATGCAGGGGTTCCCCTGGGTGGTGCAAATGGTGAATGCACTCAGCTACTGAGTTAGAGGTTAGAGGTTCGAGTCCACCCAGAGGCACCTCGAGAGAAAGCCGTGGCAAGCTACTTCCAAAACATCGGCCATTGAAAACACTATGGAACCCAGTTCTGTTCTGACACACATGGGGTTGTCATGAGTCAGAGTCTATTCAACAGCAACTGGTTTTCTATGCAAGATATAGCCCTTGCTCTGTTTCCACCCTGTTACCCTCTTGACCTCCTGTGCAGAACCCCTGGAGAGGCTGCTGGGTTCCAGGGTCCACCACCCAAAGCATTCCCATTCCTCCGAGGGCAATGTTTCTCAGCCTTGTCTCAATCATTGCCTCCTCCAGAGCTTTGTTAGACATTTTTTCCTAATTGACCTCTAAGGAAACTTCTTTAAAAATGTTTTAATTGTGAAATATATGTGACAATCATTTTTATGTGGAGAGTTGAGTGACGTGAGCTACCTTCAGCATGTGATTCTAGTTACTGCTAAACTGTGTACCTGCTCATGTGGTGTGTGTGTCAGGAATCCCTGGGTGGCGCAACAGTTCAGAGCTCAACTACTAGCCAAAAGGTTGGTGGTTCAAACCCACCCAGGAGAAAGCCCTGGAGATGTGCTTCCGAAAGTTCGCAGCCTTGAAAACTCTGTGGGGCACGGTCCGACTCTGATGCACGGGGTCACCATGAGTCAGAACCATCTCGATGTCAGCCAGCAATAACGAGTGCGTGTATCTGTGCTTTATACACAGAAAAGTAAGAATTTTTGCCCCGTTGGGGGCCCTGTCGCCACTGTTAAGATGCATATTCTAGATCAAGGAGAGAACTGGTCTCGCTTTTTAATGTCACCCTTGTTCAGTGCATTAATCCGGGACCAGGAGCAGCTTCCTGTGACTTAAAGGTAAACCCAGTCTGCTCCACGTAGGGAAATTGATCTGACATCACCCACAGCCATGGACGTTCCTCTCCCGCCGGCCACAGGACCCAGGCAGGGTGGGAAGCTGAGATCACTGTGCAAATGTGCATCGCACCCTGCAGATGGGTCACCCGTTCTCTGCCCGTGGTGTGGGTGAGCCCTGCAGGCCCCGCAGCCACTCCCTGATTCCAGCCCCCCTGCCCCTCTCCAGGTCCCACAGCGCTGGCCATGACAGAGCTGTGCCGCACGGAGTCGGCGCTGACCGCGCTGGATGAGGAGCAGCTGTGGGAGATGCTGGACAGTCATCGGTGCAGGATCCTGTGCAGCGTGTGCCCCAGCCGCCTCACCCCCTACCTGCGCCAGGCCAGGGTGCTGGGCCAGCTGGACGAGGAGGAGGTGCTGCACTGCCCCCGGCTCACTAACACCGCCATGCGGGCCGGTGAGGCCCCCTGCTGCCCCCACCTGGCCCCTGGCTCGGCCCCCTGACTCAGTCCCAGACCCAGACCCCAGACGAAGCCCCGTGACCTGGCCCCCAGACCCGGCCCCCAGACCCAGCCTCCTGACTTGGCCCCTTGACTTGGCCCCCTGACTTGGACCCCACTGACCTCAGCCTCCATCACCATGCGACCAGCTAGGCCTGCTCTTTCTTCTTTTCTTCCTTCTTTCCCCTTCCTTCTTTCCTTCCCTCCTTCCCTCTTTGTTCCTTCCTTCCTTCCCTCCCTCCTTCCTTCCTTCCTTCCCTCCTTCCCCCTTCCTTCTCTCCTTCTTCCTTCCCTCCTTCTTCTTTCCTTCCTTCCTTCCTTCCCCTTTCCTTCCTTCCCTCCTTCTTCCTTCCCTCCCTCCTTCCTTCCTTCCCTCCCTCCTTCCTTCCTTCCTTCCCTCCTTCCCCCTTCCTTCCCTCCTTCTTCCTTCCCTCGTTCCCCCTTCCTTCCTTCCCTTCTTCCCCCTTCCTTCCCTCCTTCCCCCTTCCTTCCTTCCCTCCTTC